CTCCCCACCACACCCCCGTTTTGTGTTCATGTAACTTCTAACCACGAGTAAAACCCTCACCGATTTGTCTCTTCAATGTCACGCCCCTGTTTCCCAGAAGGACCTGTCCCAACTGTAAGCTCTCTCCACAGCCCTGAGGAAGGTATTGTATTTGGAGCCATTGTACTGATGAAAGCCTTCTGGTAGCAATAAAGAAAGTTGTCCTGGATGCAGAGTCCTGTCTTCTGCTTTCCACCAGAGTCCAGGGTGGGCAGTACCCCAAGGCTGGAAGGGAGCTGCTCCATGCCAGACCCGTGAGGCAGCACCTTAGGGGTGCCGGGGAGTTGTGCAGCACGCTCCCTGCCTCTGCAGCGGTTCCAGGCTCAGCCCCAGCTCCCGTGCTCCTCGCTCCCTCCCTGGGCACGGCTGGGAGGCTGTCACATCTCACCTGTCTTGTGGCCATCTCCTCTCTGCTCTTCCCGTCGCCCCACGGATAGTCGGGTTTCCCATACACAGGCTGGCTGTGGAGTCCTATGCCGCCCCGTCCACCGAAACCACGTTAGGTAACGGGAAGGTCAGCATGGACTCCGCGACCCTTTCCTAAGGTACAGCTCACAGAACAGGTTCTCTCCTGCAGCCGTGCCTTCTTCCCAGCTGGCTTCCATCTGGTGTGGTGCAGGAGGAGCCGGCCCCTCCTGCCCCAGCCCTGAGGTGCCATCCTGATGGTGCACATCCCGCTGGGACAAACCTTCAAAACAGCCCTGGCAGCCGAGGTCTGTGCACAGAGGGGAGCCTGCGTGCGAGGGGGAGGGGGGGAGATGGGCCCTGAGTGCCTCGGCATCGTCATCCCGCTGCAGTCACTCTCAGCCTCACCCGCCATCGCCTTCTCCCCCTCCCAGCTCCAAGGGCACGTTCCCCCACCCCGTTGAGCACGCGGGTGCTCCCGGGGATCACGGCCCAAACCCCTCTGCAGACGCACAGGGAGAGGAGTTGGCTCGGGGCTGGGAAAGGGAAGCTGGCAGGAGCCAGCTGGCAGGAGCCCGGCTGGAACAGGAGGGAGGGAAGCCGGGCGTGAGGAGAGACGTAGGTGCTGCTGGAGCGGTTCTCCAGCAGATGTGCCACAGCCATGGCTGTGAGTCACTTCGGGAGAAGGGAAGGGGTTTCCTTCTCCTCCCCAGAAGCGAGAGGACAAGCGGCTTCCGTGCTGCCCTTGCACCGGCCACATTCCCAGCTTGCGCCAGCCCTGGCAGAAGAGCTCTGCGGTGAGGACCGAGCTGCTGAGCCTGCCCCAGCTCTGGGTGTGCCGGAGGAGAGGAGCCTTTTCTCGTTGCTTTGGGGAAAAGCAACAGCCTGGTTCTGGGGAAGAGCAGCCTTTGAGTCACCAAGTCCATTTTACAGCACGGTCACCTGCCCTCAGAGCTGCGCTCAGACAGCCCTTTCAACCCACCACCACGTGTGGAGACGCCCAGCCGTGCCCGCGTTGACACAGCCTGGTGGCACCACGGATGTACGGATGCAGCAGGGTACAGGGATGCACCTCCAAAGCCACCCGTGCTGCAGATGCCCAGCCCTGCTGGGAGCCACGGGCAGCGTAACCAGACCTGGGCACCAGCTGACCCCTCCCGCCCTCAGGTGGACACGGCTGGGGAAGGGCTGTGCGCTGGGGAACAGCCAGCCTGGGCCTCGGAGGGCAGGGCTGCCACAAAGGCCCCCGCAGGGGACCGCGGCATGTCACCAGGCCACCTTCAGCATCACAGCTCTCCTGCTGCTGCGGTGGCCACCTGCGTCCCAGGGAACGCGGGCCTGCAGCGGTGCCTGCGCTGACCTACTGTGGTGCGCAGATAACGGGGTGACTGACAGGCTCGCCTTGGAAAGCGAGAAATGTCCCAGCAAGATCAGCTCCCACATGCAGCAAGGTCCAGCTGATTTGGAAATAACCTGCGCTAACACAGAGGAAAACCCACTTCCCACATTTCCTCCCCCCAAAAAACCCAGGTGATGACGCAGTCCAAGCGTGGCCCCCACCACCACCTCGCTGCTATGCCAGCAGGCTGGCGTGTGCACTGCTCCCGCTGCTGGAACAGGACAGTCCTGGAGCGCTGCCAGGGCTCCCTGTTACCTACAGGAGAACACCCCCTGAAGCCCATGATTCCCCGTATTCCCTTCCCACCAGTTTCATAGCACCCCAGCACTTCACACCCCGTACTCTGAGGGCAGGGTGTGCCCACTCCACTGGGGCCCGGAGCCGTGAAGATGCGAGTCCAGCAGAGTGCGGGGGCCAGAAGGGAAACCAGTTTCAATTCACAAGCTCAGTTCCCCGCTGCCTCATCTTCCGCACGTGCGCTGGGATGAAACCATTGCATTCATCAAACCACGCGCGTTATTGCTCAGCACAGCCCCCCAGAACCCAGGGAGCCCCCAAGCGCCTGGCAGCTGTGTTCTTACTTGTTTCAAACCACCCCAGCCATAATCCCAGCCCGCCTTCGCACGCTGTGCAGCCCTCGCCCTGCAGCCCCCCATCCTTCCCTTCACGCCCCGCAAGGGTCTGCTTTGGAGACACGAGAGCAGTAACCCCCCTGCAGCTTCTGCCACAGCACAGTCAGATACAGACACACCTCCTTCACCCCACTTAGCCTGGGGGACCCTTCCCAAAGCATCTCTCAGACGGGACCTGCGGTTACCGAACGCGGGAGGATGCTCGTTCCTCGAACAGCTGGTAGGTTGATAGCTCAGTCCTCTCTAACAGGCACATCGCAGCCCCCAGCTTGTGACAGGGGGCACATCCAACCTGAAAGCTGTTCCTAGGTCTGGGTTTTGGGAATTTCTTCAAGTTCATTTTTACTCTCCAGCAGTGTCAGGAGGGTTAAGCCCACAAACATGCTTCTAAGCTTGGGCACCCACTCACTCCTGTGGATGAAGCAGCTCCCCAAGCTCTGCTGGGGACATTCGGTGACAGTGAGTGACCAAATAACCTCACTGGGGTGTCCAACAAGAGGTCTCACTGCCATCCCCTCCCCACGCTGACACCTCTTCTAACAGCTACAGGCCACGGAGGAAGCGATCCCAAGGGCACAGGGTGTGGGAAAGCCTCAGCAACTCCCTCGGCTCAGCCCCTTCTCCCACGCGTGTCTCACTGCAAACACGCTGGCAGTGCCCGTACGTGCTTCCTGCCCTGTTCCCCTCCCCCCACACCAGTATCCACCACCACCAGATTAGCGATGTCCGGTGTTTCACCCTGTTTTTTCCTCTCCTGAATTCCTTATGACTCAGTTCCCCATCAGTTTACCTTAAAAAAAAAAAAAACCCAAACACCAAAACCTTCTGCTGACACCATCTGCCTCAACAACCTGGGGCAACAAATTCCACAAGTTCACTCCCTGCTCCCTCAGAAAGTTACTCCATGAGCCCATTTCCTTCCACGTAAGTGCCCCCCTGGGCCTAGTCGTGAGGATTTGGTAACCAGCAGGCCGGCATCCCCCTCCGTCACAACGCAGTGGACGTTGTACCACGGAACCACAAGTCCATCCAGGCTGCAAGGGACCTCTGGAGGACATGTGCTGCACCCCCACACACAGCGGGACGACGCTCCCTCTGTCAGCCTCTCCCTCTCCTCCCTCTGCGGTCTCACCTGCCGGGCTGCCGCACCGTTACCATTCGTGCCCCTCTCTGCCTCCACCGTGTCCTTCTGGAGACACGAAGGCCAGAGCTGCATGCAGGACTCAAGGCACCAGCACAGCACAACTCTAGAGCTGCAAAATAAAAGCAGGGCACATAAGCATCAGCCTTTGGTTTGTGTCTACCTGCTTCTCTTCGTATCGAGCTTCAAGGAAATTTCTATTTGGAGTTTATAACTCAGCCAACAAAAGGGTTTTGCCAATCTTCAAACCTTCCTGACACAGCAGCCATGCTGGTGTCCCCCATAGCCCTCACCCCTCCGGCGCATGAACCACCACCTCCTCCGGCACAGCCCAGCACGTGCCGGGCGCAGAAATGCCCTACGAGCTGAGGTCTCAAAGGCTCATCGGAAAGCCCAGGGATGACCCAGCAGACAGGAATCCATCAGGATACTACTTGAGTGTTGCCAACCTTCATATTTGGTTACAGCTTCTTACTGTCACGAGATTTGAGAGTTACAAGGCACGCCCACATGGGTGGGATTACGGAGTTATCCCCTCTTTAGCTACAGGATTAAAGCAAACAAAAAAAACCCAACAACCACCCAAGCCACCACTTAATTTGTTTCTTTTT